TCAAGGCTGCGGGCGTCTTTGTCCCGCGAGATTTCAACGTCTCATGTAGGCGAGCCTCCAGAGCAGGGCCCCGTCTCAGGCATGGATGTAGGCTATAATAAGAACTGGGCTGCTTCTCAGGTCGACTATTTTCATTTCCTCGCTCCTCGGTCCTCGGTCTCACCGGAAGTTGATTTGCCTGCGCCATCTTGAGTACCGTCCCATGGCTCTTATTTCTGCCGGAGGAGCGAGGAGCGAGGAGCGAGGAGCGATCATGGAGGAGCGATAACCGAGGAACCACCAGACCATCCTCCGATGAAATACTCAGATACTCACCCCGCCCCCTTACTGTGTATCGCTCACTGATTGGACGAGGCAGTGCATGCACTGATCTGATGCTTCTTGACATGAGAGCAGAGTGAAGAAAATACATGAACCTCACGGGAGTCACTCCTCAGTTTATACTGTGTTTTGTTTCAATTCATGTATCATTTAGTTACAAATATGTGATATATCTAAACAACAAAGTGGTCAAACATTTTTTTATTCATTTATTGGAAACATTTTCATGATCGCTTTTTTCGTTTATACATTTTAAGAATGGCGTTTATCTTTTTTGAGAATGACTTCTTATTTTATTTCATGTATTTGGATCTACAACAGATGATACTAATGTTTATGTCAGTAAATGTGCACTAACAGAGGCGGGGGTGTTTGTGGAAATAACGGGTACAGAGCTGGCTGCTGCCAGACGAACAGCTGTGCAGCGTCATCACAAACGGACGTCGCTTCACGTGACGCTCCGGAGGAAAGGACGTCCCATTGCTCTTAAAACTCATTTCCCTGCTTCTCGTGGTTTCCTTGCGTCCCTCCATGCTTCCCTGGTGGGAGGGACTAAACGCAGGGAAACGACGCAAGTGAGGGAAGCAAGGATTTCATTTAATCGACCTGAGAAGCAGCCCCGGATACAGCGTGGGAGGCGGGGCCTCATTCATTCCTATGAGAGTTGCTCATTAGCGCATGATGATAAAATGGCCCAACTTTTGAGAGAGTGAAACGTCACAGATTACCCAGCATGCCTGAGAAGTACCCGTATGTGCACTCATAGAGCATGCGCAACTTTGACCAAAATGCTCGTTCACATCAAGCACGTCAATTTGCGTACACGTAACAGCACCGCGCGTTCATGACAGCATGGTAATGGATTGTTATTAAGATGGATTTGATATGAACGAGGCGGCAGTTAGCAGCTAGCGGCTAGCTAGTAATGATGCTAATGTAACATCAATCGTTATGTACTTATATTACGCTGTAACAGGATCTAGTGATATCCAACAGAGCTTCATTTAGCATGAAATAATTATTGCATATAATATATATATATATACTTATAATAATAAGTAATATTAACTTTATTTAATACAACATTTACGGTACAAGATTTAATCATACAGCCCATGTAGTATGATAATGAATTACAGCAAACATGTGCAATATATCCATTATTACAGCTCCGTGGGATGGCAGTGAGACGATATGGATCCGTTCTTATTGTGCATCCATGGGTAAAGATAAACGCAACTCACATTGGTTCCTCATACAGCATCTCTGTAAACTACGTGTATTCACTGAATTTCACTCTCTGCCTTTAACGGCTCGTTGTAGCTCCAAAAGCTCCAGCCCCCACCCTCCCTGTTTGGTTGGGACACGTAACGTGAATGTGCCGGGCGGCGCGGCCCCGTGGGTTAGATTCGCGTTCATAATGCAGAGGGAAATAACTAGGGATGGGTATCGTTTGAAATTTATCGATTCCGATTTCGATTCCGGTTCTGCTTATCGATTCCGGTTCTTATCGATTCCCCGTTTCGATTCCAAAATTGTAAAATAAAGAGGTCAAACGTTTAGATAACAAAAATATATTTATTCTTAAAAGCTTTAACTGAAATTGTTACTAAAAAATATACATGCAATACAAATGTATTGCACAATAGCTGTGCTTTATTTTAACTGAGCTATGCCTGTGGCAAGCTATTAACAGGCATTACACTTTGCCTTTTATTTTTATTTTTTAGTGTAGTGGAGCCTCACTTCAGAGTGTTTACCGCGACCTATCTTTGGTGTTATGAAGTGACTGAGCTCGTGAAATGTCTACGGGAGGGCGGGGGAGCATCGCTGCGGGGCAACTGTGGACCTCTGTCGCCTGTCAGCGCAATTTATATGATGCCGTTTAAAAAAATGAAGGGCGGTGCCGGCCGTCAGCGTACCGAGCCGGCCGTCAACGGCCCGCTGACGACCGGCCATTCTGTGATTCTCCAGGTCCGCCCTGTATTCCACCGGGTCACCGCAGCACCGCAGTGCAGACGGACCCGCTGGAATACAGGGTCTACCGCGTTTAGGAACCGTTAAGCAGAACCGAAATTGTGTATTTTGTATGGGTACCCGGTACCCGGCATTTTCTTATCGGTTCTCATCTGGAACCGAGTTTCGGTTCCCAACCCTAGAAATAACTCAGAATAACGTTATTAGCACATTTTTACAACTTGAGGAACGAATGTTTTTAATAAGGGCTATACAAGTGTTCATACTGGGTAGTTTATTTAGTTTAAAAAAAAATTATCCAACGAGCTACAGACCACTCTTTCCCCATGTAAGTCAATGGGAAAAAGTGTTTCCGGGCCTGGCAACCAAGCGGAAGTGTAGTACCGCCGTTTGGCCAGCACGAATATTTTCATCTGAGTCCGGCGCACTTCCTGGGGGCTTGGTCTCAGGTCGGTTAAATGAAATCCTTGCGTCGTTTCCCTGCGTCTAGTCCCTCCCATCAGGGAAGCATGGAGAGATGCAAGGAAACCACGGTTGCATTCCAATAGTCCATTTAGCTTAGGAACCTTCCTAACGGAGTGAAATGACCCGGAAGTCCCTCAGTGGCAGCCATGATAAGTGCCGTTCCAATTCTCCAAATGAAAGGAAAGGAGGTTTCAAACTTCCTTTATAACCTCCTTTAGCTTAGGAACCACTGGACCTCCCTAACCGAAAGGAGAGGAGAAAATGCTGCCCCACAATGCATTGCAGCCGCAGCATTTGCCGTCACTCAACAGTCGGCCGTTCACGGACACAAACGATTATGACGGAGAAATTATATCATGAAAGTTACGGTGCTTATTAAGCATTTTAAAACGTATGTGGTAAGTTGCCAAAGTGCTTTGTTCTGAACGTTCATCAGTATTATAATCAAAGAGAAATATGAACGTTAGTTTTTACTGAAATGATCAAATAAAGTCAACATCTCACAGTCTTTACTGAGCTGTGGGGTTTGCTCAACTTTTAAAAGATGTTTGAATGGTGATATACACAGCGATAGATGTTAAGGACTAACGTTTATAATAAATACATCTGTATTGATTTAAGATATTTTCATCAATCATACGTATTGGGATCATTTGTATTAATGAGGACCGGAGGGAGAGGGGGACGAGTAGAAGTTTCACTTTCCTTTTTATTTCAATTCCAGCTTTGGTCCTGAAGAATCTGTTTCTCTGTTGTCCCCGTTCATAAAGCATAAAGCAGCAGCGTCAGAGCACAGAGTCTCTAGATGAGTTCACAGGAGTCCCTCGTTCTTATTGAACATCCATGTTGTAGTCCGCTGTATAGAAAACTGTAGTCTCCATAGTTTCCCCACAGCAGCAGACGCACATTCAGGACGTCCGCTGGTGCATCATAAACACGTCGGATAGTGAAAGTGCAGTCGATTCTCTAAAGTACCGCGGTCTCTTCTCCTAAGTCCTTTTGAATTCTCCTATCCACTATCCCTTAACCCCGTGACCTTTCACTCAGAGGTCAAGGAATAGGAGATAGGGTTAGAATTTAGGAGCTGATTATCGGAACGCAACCCACGAAAAGGAGGGAAATGAGTTTTAAGAGCATCCGTTTGTGATGACGCTGCACAGCTGATCGTCTGACAGCAGCTCTGTCCCTGTTATTTCCACACCCCCCCCCCCCCCCCCCCCCCCCCCCGCCTCTGTTAGTACACATTTACTGACACACACATTTGTATCATCTGTTGTAGACCCAAATACATTAAATTAAATAAGAACACATTCTCAAAAAAGATAAACGCCATTCTTAAAATGTATAAACGAACAATAGTTTGATTAATATTGATCAGAGTGCACAATAGAAATAAAATAATTGAGAGAAGAAAAAGAGATATGTTATCTATCAAAACCCAGTTAGATAACATTCATTGGATTGCACACTTTGTGTGTTTGTGTGGATATGTAGCACATTAACATTTCAATAGCACTTAATGACTGACTGAATGGAAATGACAATAAATGAAAATGTAAAACGAAAAAAGCGATCATGAAAATGTTTCCAAAAAATGAATAAAATGATTTTTGACCACTTTGTTGTTCAGATATATCACATATTTGTAACTAAATGAAACATGAATTGAAACAAAACACGGTTTAAACTGAGGAGTGACTCCCGTGAGTTTCATGTGTTTTCTTCACTCCGCTGGGAAACGGCTCTCATGTCAAGAAGCATCAGATCAGTGCATGCACTGCATCGCCCAATCAGTGAGCGATACACAGTAAGGGGGCGGAACAAGTGTCTGAGGATTTCATCGGAGGATGGTTTGGTGGTTCCTCGGTTATCGCTCCTCCATTATCGGTCCTCCGGCAAAAATAAGAGCCATGGGACGGTACTCAAGATGGAAGATCGCTTGTCTCAAACAAGCCTATTTACTAAAAGGTGATTAATGCACTTTTGTAATCCTGAGGGGTTGAACCCACTACTCAGATTTATTTTTTATTTTAAACCCAAATACTGAATACCTGAATGAACAAATAGTGAATTATTGGGGTCGATCCTAAGAAACAAGTAAATATGTTCTCTTCCTCAATTAAAGGGAAATGTTTTGCTTTTAAGCTGAGGTGGCATGGTAACATTTTATCCACTTTTCTGCCTTTATCTGATTTATGTATTTACGCATACTGATTACAATGTGCTTTATCCCCCAGGTTCCGTCAGAGTGGTTGTTCTAGAAGGTGGAGAGGCTTTATTCCCAGTATCCATCAACATGGGTGCTGAAAGACTTCTCTTTGACTGGAGAAAAGTCGGTCCTGGAGGAGAAGTCTTTCAGGAGGTTTTCATGTATGATGCAGGCATCCATTACAACAACGGTCGTTCAGGTCAGAGTCCGCAGTTCAAAGGACGAGTCTCACATTTCCCAGCAGAACTGAAGCACGGCAACGCCTCCATCGTCATCAGCAACACGACAGCAACCGACAGGGGAAACTACACCTGTTATTTTCCACGTCTGCAGCCTCCTCAGACATTCTACTTTGAGCTGGATGTTGGTGAGTACTTTCTCACTCCTTGTGTCTTTCAGTCTTTATGCAAATAAAGCCTGAAAGATGGATAAGAAGAATGTCTTTATTCATTCTTCTTATATCCTTCCTATCAATTTTTTTTAAGGAAAATTATAAACACAGCAAATATTGGACCAGCACCAACATTTTTATATATATATTATGCGATATATAAAAAAAGACATTGGAGTTAACTCACCCTTAGAAGGCAAAAACCTTTGACAAGAAATGAATCTTATTTTTTGTCTGTCAGATCTCCACTTTAAGGACCGATCAGGAGAAGACCCAGGTGAGCCATGATGTCACTGAGCAGTTTGTGCTGCAGCTCTCGAGACTAAGGACGTGATTGATGCGACTCATGTCATACGCAAGAGTTCAATTTCTTCAACTCGAGCTTCGAATTCACATGATGCGTTTTCAGGTTAGCCAATCAGTGGTGAGGATCTCAGCCTGCCGTCACTGACGTTGATTCAGAAAACCAGAACAGCAGCCGTTAGCTGTTAGCACTCAGAGCTCCTCATATCTGTTCAGAAACTGGATAAAAGTTATACATGAATAAACCACAGACTCATGGCGAATACAGTCTTTATTTATCTCTGTATGACGTTGTTGTGAGTTTGGACAGAGCAGATACAACGTTAGCTTAGCCTGGTAGATCAAATCTCCATTCAGAAAATGTTTTAAAGTGTTTTGCGACATCGATAAGTTAAAACAATTAAATAGAGAGGGAGAGAAGTAGGGTTAGAAGAGAAAGACATTAACGTGGAGTTAGGGTGGAATGGACCCAGAGACGGAACCGAAGCCACAAGTTTGGTGAGTCCCAAACTCATGATCATAAAAACAATGGTTGCAATACAACCATTAGAAACTAAAGCTAAAATAATACCAGTTAATAATTGCTTTTTCAATGAAGGAACAGAAGGTTTTTGAAAATATCTAAATTGATCACGCATATTAAAAGAACAGGATTATATAGTTTTAGTAGAATCTATAGCCACAATGTCTGTATTCCTGGACAGAAGAGTCTGCTGCTGCTTCTGTGTTTCTCTGTCCCTTAGCAATCACTATTTGATGGAGTTTGTCCGTTCCACACTGTGAAATAGGAGGATGTTGTTTTATCATCAGATGCAGTTTACTGATTTTAGGCCTGTTGGGCGGGATCCCAAAAACGCTGCGCAGCAAAATGGGTGATGTATACGAGCAGTTATGACATCAACCTCACTAATTATTCAACATCAGAACTAGTTCTAGTCATGTGGTTTTCCACAGCGTGCTCTGCGACAGCCTCATCAATCTTTACCTTCCAGAAGGTTCAACATCAATACAGTAATTTGATGATTTTATTGATTTGCAGTCCATTTGAGGCCCTCTTAAATTATCTGGCTGCTGTTGCTAACAAAGCAAATCTATCCAAATTACAATTAGCTCAGACTAATAATAGTTACTTATTTAGGATTTGTGATCACAGCAGAGGGACAAATCTATTGAGTCTCTCCTTCTATTCCAAGAGCTTTAATGACTTAAACATCTCACACCCATACTGGGTCTGCCATAGACTGATACTAGTGTTAATTTCGTTGACTAAAACTATGACGAAATATGTTCGTCAACGACCTTTTTTTCCATGACGAAAACGAGACGATGACGAGACGGCAGTAAACAATAACTGTAACGAAATCATCATGCAATATCGTTGACGAAAAGTGACGAGACGAAAATGTAGTTTAGTAAATAAAAACTATGCCAAAATCTGTCTTTACTTTCGTTGACGAAAAATGAGGAGACGAAATATTATCAAAGATAACGTTACATCTCTGATAGTCAGTTTTTCTCCCAGCAGTTCCATTTCCGGTGCTGCGGCAGGGCAGCAGCTGTGTGTCTGTGCTGCGCGCGGCGGTACAATTACATTACACCGGGCAGCGGCACAATATGAACTGTCAGGAAGACTCGGATATAACGAACCTTATTTAAAATAAAATGGCAACAACAGGGTTTGGGAGCAGTGTCGTCCCCCCCCCCCCCCCCGCGAGTGAGTGACAAGTTGGGTAATAATGGATTATGACGGAAATGTTACAATCCTGTCCGTCAAAATGACTGACAACGAAAAAGTCTAACGCCACCACTGCTTGGGAGAAAGAAACGATGTGATATTTGGGCCCATTTTCGCTACAATGAGGCGGAGAAAAACAGGAATGCATTGTTTTATCAGAAGGGAAGCAATGTGGCCATAACACAGGTACCACACACCTGACCAGACTCTCTGCAAAGCTGCATTCTTAATCATTCAACCTGTGTTTTTCATCAAATAAGGACAAGATATAATCTTATTTATTTATATATGCTAAAATGACAAATTATTGGTTTTGGCTAGACTAGTTTTACTGAAATGTTCTATATAATCTGATGACTAAAAAAGTTTTTTCATTGACAAAAAGTAGACTAAAATAGTTAGTTGTCTTTGACGAAAATGCTCAGACTTTTAGCCGACTAAAACATGACTAAATAAAAACAGGATGAAGGTGACTAAAACTAACAAGGACATTTGATACAGGACTAAGACTAAACTGATACCTAACCAATTACACAGTTGTTGACAAAAAGACAAGACAAGACTTCTCTACTGACACATTGTGATGAACATAACTGTGTGGCTACTCTTAACCTAATATCCACCTACAGGTTGTTTTAACTGTTCCTCTCTCTAACGCAGGAGGGAATGTGTTGCACATACTAAACATTCAAATTCTATATTTTTGTCTAGAAGAAGTGGCTGCTGTTTTCCGATTCCTTTTCCACCCAATTTTCTAACCTTGTTTTTTCCTGCTAATGAACTCAGGAGTTTGCCACATGCTCTCTTCCATTGTGATCTTGATCATCCTGAAGGGTGTCTTTTCCCCCATAATGACAAAGTCGCTGCACAAACAAACTAATGACTCGACTCCCAATATAATTTGAAATGATTTTATTGACTTGAAATGATGGTATTTAATAGTGAGGTTTCCTGTTGAAGTTGGCTGTAAATGTTTGTTGTACTTGAGTGAGTCTGTGAGCATGTTTCTCTGTTTTACCAGACTGCAAGACACATTTGTTTTCCTTAGCTGTTGTGTTTAACATGTTCACAGCTGCAACTCCAAAGCCGTCCGTCACGACTCTCACAGTCGACTGGGCTCTTCTGCACTGTGAGGTTCCTGGTGCTTCTCTAAACACTAAAGCAGAGTGGCAGAGCGGAGATGGAAACAGACTCGAAGCTGAGGAGAAACGAGTCCCAGAGAAAGACCACGACCACGTCTTCATCTCTCTCAGCGTTAATGTGACCAGGACAGACCTCTACCGCTGTGTGGTCTCTCAGGAGGACATCAAGCATCGGGTCTCTGCTCAGACCTTTGTGTTCATTAGTGGTGAGATGAGTTTGGATCTAAAATGATGTTAATTGTCTTTAATTGTGATATAAAGGTACATTTATATATTTGAATATGTCTTTCAGAGAAACAAAAGATGGAGTGTAAGGAATGCTACAGCATGCTTATGGTTGGCATCACTTCATTCGTTTTGGGAGCTGTAAATCTGGCTGCAGTTCTGGCTTTGCTTGTATTTGCAAAGTGCATCAAAATACTCCACAATAAAGGTGAGTTAAAAACATAATTTGTATTTATTTTTAATTAGCAGACACCAGAGTGTTGTCTCTGTGTCTTCTCAGATGTGCTTCATTGTGTTAGTGTTTACATCAGGTTGATTTATTGACCCCACAAACATCAATATATAAACGATGAAACCATACGACTGAATGTGTGATTAATTTACAGCAGTGAAAATAGAGAACTACCTGAATGAGAAGTGAACATAGTATAAATAAAAGTATCAGTCAGACTGCAGATGAGAGTCTGATGGTCCTCAGGGTTCATCTGTCAATCACACATTCATTCCTGCTGAAGAACATTCAGTCAATAACTAACACACACTACCAACATGGACATGTTTGGTTTGGGTTATAAATAACATTTCTGGGTTGTATCAAAGTTGACTTTATGTAATATATGTTTTTATGTTCTCTGCTGCAGATTCTGCTCTGAAGGGAGAAGAGGAGATCAACCTACCGTCTAACGGGACAAACATCCTGGTAAAGATGCTTCAAAGCTGCCACTGCAGTCAGCTGAGTATTAGCGTTACATCTGATGTTAAGGTGTGTGAACAACCTGAGTTTGTGTGTGAGGATAGTTTGGCTGATCCTTCATAAACCTTCCTGACGGTTCAAATAAGATAAGCTTTAAGAACACACACACACATTCCGGAGCATAGCCAAGACAAAATCAGGAGAAGAACTAATTAAGTTTTCATTTGAAAAAAGGGTGTAAAATCACTTATCACCTTTGTCCTCTCTCCTCACAGTGTTTTGACAGGACGGGCATTTCCATTACCTTTTTAGATGGGAATAATATTAAAAGGAATGGTGTTTTAAAAAGTTCTGAGAATAAGGGATTCATGAGGTTCAAGGAAAGCATCCGCTCTCGGCTCAGTAGAATTAATGGAGAGAGAAAATAAATCTAGTTTCGGCTTTTAGTGCATTTTACAACTTTAAGGACCGAATGATTCTAATAAGGGCTGATTTACAGACGTCTCTGTCCCCATGTTAGTCAATGGGGAAAAGTCTTTCTGGGCCGGGTGACGTCACGGACTGATACGGAAGTTGAAGTACCGCCGTAGGAGTATTACTCTTAACCATGAGATACAACACTGTCTGGAGTTACATTTTACAAACTGAGCCGATCATCAATCTCCAATATCATGGTTTAATAGTTTGCCTGTCTGACCATCGTAATTGGGCTTCTTGTAGATAAAACCAGGCGTGGGTTTCTTCATATTTTGATGTGATTGAATCTGTATTTACCGCCATTCAAATGACAGCTAGTGTTTGCACCCAAAAGGGCCCGATGAACGAGTTGATATCAGGCAGCTTAGAGGGATTGTGTTTCGATAAGATAAAGAAATCCAGGGTGTGTTGAACTGGCTTCGTGGTACAGGCCGGCTGCAGCTTATGAAGTAAATCATATTACTTTCTCCCATTAAATGGTGTTTGAAGCATTAAAAAATCTGAGATGTGAATGTAGCAGAGACTGTGAATGTGCAATGGACAGCTGAGAGAGAGAAGAGACAACTTTCTGAGTTTAGTTTTAAGCTATATAATTAACAGTCTTACTAGTGTTTTATAAACAAACCTGCTTTTAGATTTAAGACTGAAGCTGTTACTGTCTATAATATAATAATGTCCTCATTGCTGTTAAAATATTTTTGTAAATATGGAAGTGTTGAATGTTACAGGGTGAATTTGCAAAAACAGATATCATTGTTTGGGGTGTTTTTCAATGCCAATCACAGAAGTGCTTGGTTGGTCTCAATTTTCTTATTTAAATCATTTGCACTGAAGCGAAAATCAATCAATCCTAGTGTTTGTCTGTTTTTGCAAATGAAGTCCTATCAGTGTTTTCTCCTACTGACGTTTTCTTTGTATAGGCAGTTATATATCTCTTTGTGTTACTCCAGGGTGTCCGCGGGGTCTTAAAAGGTCTTACATTTGACTTCAGGATTCCTGCATACACCCTGTACTCAAAGTGCTGGAGTTTCATTAGGAAAGAACCAAAGTGATCTTCATTTCGTTTCCAAGTTTTCAGATGTGTTCATTACATGTAAAGCTATTTGTGTGTAAAAGTACCATTTTCTATGCTCTGTGTGTGTGTGTGTGTGTGTGTGTGTGTGTGTGTGTGTGTGTGTGTGTGTGTGTGTGTGTGTGTGTGTGTGTGTGTGTGTGTGTGTGTGTGTGTGTGTGTGTGTGTGTGTGTGTGTGTGTGTACAGAGACAACAATATACAGTAGATTTGGTTTACAGCAAGTCGCAGTTTTCGCCTCATATCTTTCTTTCTCTCTCTCTCTTTTTCTCTCACTCCCTCATTCCCAAACTCATAAACACACTCTTACATATTAAACCTCCTTATACCTTGTATGTTTGTGAGTGATTGTGTGTGAGAATGAGGCAGGAGTAAGTGTGATCTCATGCAAGCCCGCCTTAACCTGCCATCAGGCCCTGGGGCTGATAGTTTTTGTAGGCCCCCTATTTAAACAACATATCAAAGTCATTTATAGCCTCGGCAGGCTCTGTGATCGCACTTCTCCACTTTGCTCGTGTGTGTGTGTGTGTGTGTGTGTTCGACACCATTCCTTTTTTAAACAGCAGCATCAGACTTGCCACAAACCAGCTCTTTTGTATGTTTTTATATCTGTATGTTTAAGTTATTTTAAAGCCATGTTGTCTGAAAGTTTGTTGGCATTATTTACTTAACGCTCTTTTGTTTTCCAAATGGCTTGTTTCTGCCCGTTGAAGCTCAGGTCGCTTGTTTTGTAATTTTTTACTGGAATAAAGATGTTCATGGTGTTTCTGAGCCTTTCTTGGGAAGAGATGGACTTCTGATACAAATCCTAGTAAAGCACGTCATATAATTATATAGCAACCTCAAATAAGTATGTTGGCAAAACTATTCAATGAAAACTAGTAAAAATATGAAAAATGTCAGTTTTTGGTAAATACGTCAAACGGTCATGGATACATAGAGAAGTCTAAGAACAGTATGTTGAAACATTATATAAACACTAATGCCATAAAAAGTCAGTACAGTATGTCAAAAATCCTACAAAAGGTAATTGTATTATATTTAAAAGGATATGAAAGCAATTATAGTATATGTTAGAAAATATCAAAAAGTATGAGAATAAGACCAGTTGTCACACTATACAACACCATAAAAAATAAATGTTAAAGTATTAGTAAAACTATTAAAAAGTCACGTATATCAAAAATATTAGACTCTAAAAAAGTAATGCTATGATGTGTCAAATAGTATTTATGTTGGAAAATGATGTGAAAACATGTAAAGAGTGATATATATTAAATACATGAACACATTCAAATTGAACTAAAGTTTATCAAAAAAGTATAATACAATAATTCAGAGGTCCAAAATTCAACTGAGAATACACATGTATTTTATCTAATTAAAAATATGAATGCACGCAGCGTCAGAAATAAAACCCTCTCTCTTTTCCTCCGTACCCACATCTCTAAAAACGGGGAACAACGGAGCTGATCCAGATTTGCGTCCGATATGACGTAATATCTGAAATGTGGACCCACGGCCCAATCAGAAACGTTGCTATCAGAAACAATGCCCGACTGTTTTGGACGTGTTTACATTAGCATCGCTAACACTCAGAGCTAACCTGTACTGGAGAGCATGTGTGTGAAGAAGCAGGAAGTAAAAAGGAACTCACCTTGTGGTATAACCGGCAAGAGAGAAAGCCTTTGTGCTCCAGACTGTTTCAGATCCTTGATAATCCATGATATGGTCTTTCATCACCGCAGTATCTGCCGGTAGAATCTCCCGCATGAGCAGGCATAAGCTCCGCCCCTCTTTTTAATAAATGTTTTCTTTTTCAAAGCTTTATACCCAGAATCAGCACTTTTGAAACAGGAAGTGAAATAGAGGGATATGAGCAGTGGCGGCGAATGATCATTAGGGGCAGGTAGGGCACAGAAAGTATAAAAAAATAATGATTACCAACAACAACAAACAAATATATACACTGAACAAAAATATAAACGCAACACTTTTGTTTTTGCTCCTATTTTTCATGATGAACTCAAAGATCTAAAACATTTTCTATATACACAAAATAACCATTTCTCTCAAATATTGTTCACAAATCTGAAAAAATCTGTGATAGTGAGCACTTCTCCTTTGCCGAGATAATCCATCCCACCTCACAGGTGTGGCATATCAAGATGCTGATTAGACAGCATGATTATTGCACAGGTGTGCCTTAGGCTGGCCACAATAAAAGGCCACTCTGAAACGTGCAGTTTTGCTTTATTGGGGGGGGGGGGTCCGAAAACCAGTCAGTATCTGGTGTGAGGGGTAGGGGTAGGGTTACATTACATTACATTACATTGCATTTAGCTGACGCTTTTATCCAAAGCGACTTACAATAAGTGCGTTCGTCCAACAAAATACAACTTGAAGAAAACAGAATCATATAAGTACATCACGTTTCATAGAACAAAAACATTTCAAGTGCTACTCAACTGGCTTTAGGTAAGCCAGTCCTTTATTAGTATAAAAGTGCTTCGTTAATAGTTCTATCGCTCGAAGTGGAGTCGAAAGAGATGAGTTTTCAGTCTGCGCCGGAAGATGTGCAAGCTATCTGCTGTCCTGATGTCAATGTGGAGCTCATTCCACCATCCTGGAGCCAGGACAGCAAACCCACGTGTTTTCGCCGTTGGGAACTTGGGTCCCCCTCGCAGCGAGGGCGCAGCGAGTCGTTTGGCTGATGCAGAGCGTAGTGCACGCGCTGGGGTGTACGGTTTAACCATGTCCTGGATGTAGGAAGGGCCAGATCCATTCGCAGCACGGTAAGCAAGTACCAGTGTCTTGAAGTGGATTCTAGCAGTTACCGGAAGCCAGTGAAGCGAGCGTAGGAGCGGAGTAGTGTGGGAAAATTTAGGAAGGTTGAAGACCAGACGAGCCGCTGCATTCTGGATGAGCTGCAGAGGTCGGATGGCACATGCAGGTAGACCAGCCAGGAGGGAGTTGCAGTAGTCTAGGCGTGAGATGACGAGAGCCTGGACCAGAACCTGCGTCGCTTTCTGGGTCAGCTGGGGACGCATCCTCCTGATGTTGTAAAGCGTGTATCTGCAGCAACGGGTTGTAGCAGCGATGTTTGCAGTGAAGGACAGGTTGTTATCTAGGGTCACACCCAGATTCCTTGCAGTCTGAGTCGGGGAAACAACTGAGGTGCCGATGTTGATTGTTAGGTCAAGAGTGGGACAATCTTTTCCCGGGAGGAAGAGCAGCTCAGTCTTGTCAAGGTTGAGTTTGAGGTGATGAGCAGACATCCACTGAGAGATGTCAGCTAGACAAGCAGAGATGCGTGCGACGACCTGGGTCTCTGAGCGGGGAAAGGACAGAATGAATTGGGTGTCGTCAGCGTAGCAGTGGTATGAAAAACCATGCGGGCTAATGACTGATCCGAGCGAGTTTGTGTACAAGGAGAAGAGGAGGGGACCAAGAACAAAGCCCTGAGGGACCCCTGTAGTTAATTGACAAGGGTCGGACTCAGACCCTCTCCAAGTCACCCGGTAGGTACGGTCTTTCAGGTATGAGGTGAGGAGGGAAAGTGCAGAGCCTGAAACTCCAAGTTTTTGGAGAGTGCGAAGGAGGATCTGATGATTCACCGTGTCGAATGCAGCAGACAGGTCCAACAGGATGATGACAGAGGAGAGGGATGCAGTTTTGGCAGTGTGCAGTTCCTCCGTGACAGCAATGAGAGCAGTTTCTGTGGAGTGACCTGCCTTGAAACCAGACTGGTGCGGATCCAGAAGGTTGTTCTGATGGAGGATAACAGGAGAGTTGTTTAAAGACAGCGCGTTCAAGTGATTTAGATAGGAACGGGAGGGAGAGAGACAGGCCTGTAGTTTATAACATCAGACGGGTTGAGAGTGGGTTTCTTTAGGAGAGGGTTTACTCTTGCCTCCTTGAGACTGTTTGGAAAGTGACCAGAAGTTAGAGAAGTGTTGATGAAATGGGAGAGAGAAACGGTAGAATATCAGGAGCGATAGTCTGAAGGAGGTTTGAAGGGATAGGGTCCAGAGGACAGGTGGTAGGGCGGGCAGAGGTAATGAGGGTAAGAACCTCACTTGGAGAGAGAGGGGAAAAGGAGGTTAGTGTGTTGGTGGAAGGAGGGTCTGGTGACCCAGCGGTGAGTAAAGGTGAGTCAGAAAAAGAAGAGCGAATATCATCAACCTTTTTTTCAAAGTGGGTAACAAAGTCGCTTGACAGAAGTGAGGAGGGGGGAGGAGCTTTTGGAGGGTCCAAGAGGGTGGAGAAGATGGAAAATAGTTTTTTAGGATTGGAATAGGAAGATTGGATCTTATCTTGAAAGAAAGTGCTTTTTGCCTGAGAGATCGAAGCAGAGAAAGAGGAGAGGAGAGCCTGATAGGTTAGGAGGTCGTCACGGTGTTTGGATTTCCACCATTTCCGCTCTGCTGCCCTAAGGACGGTTCTATTAGCACGCAGTGCATCATTTAGCCAGGGAGCAGGAGGGGACTGACGAGCCTGCCGAGATGTGAGAGGACAGAGAGAGTCCAGAGAGGATGAGAGAGTAGAGAGGAGAGTTTCTGCAGCAGAGTTTGGAGGCAGGAGTTGGAACGAGTCAGAGGAAGGGAGGGCTGAGAGCACCGACGAGGCAAAGCTAGAGGGGGAGAGGGAGCGAAGGTTACGGCGGACAAGTGCAGGATGAGAAGAGATTAGTTTGTTATGTTTGGAAAGGGATAGAGAGAATGAAATGAAGAAGTGATCGGATGTGTGGAGCGGGTTTACAGAGAGGTTAGAAGTAGCGCAGTTCCTTGAGAATATGAGATCAAGGACATTGCCAGCTTTATGAGTTGGTGGGGACGGAGACAGTGAGAAAGCAAAGGCGGTTAACAGAGATGTTAGTTCGTCTATCTTCCCCGTCTGGAGGTTGAAGTCTCCGAGAAGTATAGCGGGAGGGCCAGTTTCAGGGATGTGTGAGAGGAGATGATCTAATTCCTCCAAGAAGTCGCCCAAGGCGCCTGGTGGACGGTAGAGAACAACAATGGTTAATTGTATAGGATGGGTTACTGTGACGGCATGGAATTCAAAGGTGGAAGGATTGAAGTTAGGTAGCTTGAAGAGGGAAAAGCTCCATTTGGGAGAGAGCAGGAGACCAGTGCCACCTCCTCTGCCAGTTGGTCTGGGTGTATGGGAGAAGGAATAT